GGAGCTCCTGGAGTTTTGTCTTGGATTTTATCTGGAGAAATACAGAATTCCTGGATTTGCTCCAGGTTGTTTTGAACTTCCCTCCTCCTCCAGCTTTAGCCTGGAAGTTGCTCCAAAGTTGGAAAAATCGTGGACAGGATAAAGGGAGGGAAGAATCCAAAATGCCAGCATGGTATGTGGACCCCAAGGAACAAATTCCCTGCTTCCATAAAAAGGAGGGAGATGCCTGGAAGGAATGGGATATTTGGGATGGGAACTACTCCTTCCTTTCTTCATTTCCATCTAGGAGGGCATTCAGCCACTCAATTAAAAAAATTATGGAATGGTTTCAGTGGGAAGGGATCTTAGTTCCTCATCTCATTCCATGGACAGGGACACCTCCCACTATCCCAGGGTGCTCCAAGCTGGCCTTGGACACTTCCAGGGATGGAGCAGCCACAGCTTCTCTGTGAATCTGTGCCAGGGCCTCCTCACCCTCCCAGGGACGGATTTATTCCCAATATTCCATCTAAGCCTGCTCCCTGGCAGTGGGAAGCCATTCCCTTGCTCCTGGCACTCCATCCCTTGGGAATAATCTCTCCCTGTTTTCCTCCTTGTCTCCTTCAGTTCCTGGGATGCCACAGTTGGATTATCCTGAAGCTCCTCTTTGCCAGGCTGAGCAATTCCAATTCTCACAGTTTTTCCTCCTGGCTGAGCTGCTCCATCCCTCTGATTATCCCGGTGCCTCCTCTGGATTTGCTCCAACACTCCACATCCTTCCTGTGCTGGGAGCCAGACCTGGATGCAGAACTCCAGGTGGGACTTCCCTGCAGCACAGGAGGAGGGATGTGAAAACCCAAACAAAGCAATTCCTTTTCCTGGCGCTTGGAATTCTGTTCCCATTAAACCCCTTCTAATTCCTGCTCCTCTACATTGCCCAAATCCCCAAAATTTAGTGTAACAGGAGCTCCCCCCCATTCCAAAAGCCTTCCCAGAGCTTCCCAGCCCCGTCTCCGTGTTCTTGTGGTGTCTCCAGAGGCAGCCGAGTTCCTCCAATTCTTTTTCCCCCGCACAGGTGTCCCCGCCTCCGGCTCCATTGTCCCTCATCCCAGTCCCGGGATTTGCGACCGCTGACGTCACACATTCCACGCCCTTTTCCTTCTTTAACCTCCGAGCAACACTTTTAAACCAATTCCTTCATTTTCAGCAATTTTATCGTTGGTTTTAATTAGTTGTATTGGATATTTCCTTTGGTGGTGATTCTGCTCCCCAGGAGATCGTTGGGGTTGGATTCCTATGGAAAACGGGGGGTTATGGATGTGTTCATCCAAAGAGGGTTGGGAAAGAAAATCCTTTTAAAGTTTGGCGCCAGGACTAGGATTTTCAATGGGAGCATCCAAGAAAATTTAAGGAGTGTGGAATATTCAATAAAAATCAAAGAAGCGCCAAAAATTCCCCAAAATATTCCCACATAAGCTTGGAACATAGAGATCTTCCTAAAAGTGATGGGAGGGAGCTTTCTTATCCATGAAACTCTTGGAAACAGGGATAAACCTTTTTTTTTTTTTTTTTTTTGAAAAAAAAAACCAAAACCAAACCACTGGAAAATGTTTTTAGCTTTATTTTTGCAAACATTCCGTGAATATTCCATGGTTTTGAACAAGAAGTTCTTCCCTGGGACAGGATTCCTGATTAGACACCTTATATGTCCTAAGAAAGAACATTCCCATTAATTCCTTGATTTTCCTGGAACGACTTTTAATATTTAAATTATATTCAAATATTTTGGGATTTCCCCCAGTTTGGGAATATCCAGAGAAGCTTTAGTTAAAAATTCCCAGGTTTTGTCCAGGAAATTTTTCTTGGATAAAAAGGCCAGATTGGATTGTTGGAAGAAGTTGTTGGTTGGAAAATTGTGGGATCAGCTGGGTGGACAAACCATGATCCATGTTTTTCCAACAGCAGAGCCGTGTCCTGGGCTGGCAGCAGGGAACTGCTTCTGTGCTGAGCTCTCTCATTCCAAGTCCAAAAAAATTCCCCCACTCCTGGAATTCTGGATAAATCCAATTAGGAACAGCATCCAGGTGGGGTTTCTCCCTCCCATTTTTTTGGGAAGTTTTTCCTCAATGCTCTGGTTTGGGAATGTTGGCTGTGACTTCACTTGGATGAGAGATTCCAGAAGATATCCCAGCAGTCAGGGCTTTCCCAGGAATGCTGTGCATGAGCAGGTCTGGGAATAAATCCAGGGTTTTAATGGGGTTTTTGGCAGCTTTTTTATTTAGGAGGGAAGTGAAGGAGCAGATTCCTGGTTTTAATTTCTCTGTTGGATCACAGCCATTCCCTCAGGAATTCCAAACCCACCTAACCCGAGAAATCCTGGAATGGGCAGTAGATCCATGGCTGTGCCAAGCAGGAAATGACTCCCCAGACTCCCAGGGTTAAATCCTGAATCTGCTGCTGCCAGAGTGGTGCTTCAGGAGAAATCCTGGGAATGCAGGGAGGGAACTGGGACCATCCCAGCATCAAAGTCTAGCACAGACCATTCCAGTGGGATCGTCCCTGCCCTGCTCATGGATGAGCTTTTCCAGCCCAAACCTCGAATTCCATGAGGAATCCTCATCCATGGGATGCCAGGACAGTGCTGCTTGGGATGCCACCAGAGCCCGGCTGAGGTTGGCTCCATCCCGGTATTCCCAGGACCTTCCCACGACCCAGCTCCTATTTGAGGGCTCTTCCATCTATTTAAGGAAATGGGAAAATATGCTGGAATCTTTGAGCATGCGCGGGAGAGGCCGCGTCAAATATTCCCTCTTTTTTAGAGGCTGCTTATCCGCGGATCCCACGGCTTTTTAGCCGGGATGTTTTCCTTCCCCTTTTAGCAACACGTGCCTGAAAAATCTCGGCCCCTATTAGGGCTTGGAAAACTCAGCTGCTGCCGGAGGGAATAAATCAAATTCTTGGAGGGGGGGAAAAAAATTAAAAAAAAAAGCAGGAACACCACAAAAATAAAAGCATAAAAGGAGGAACGCAGCATGTCATACCCAAAACTTTGGGATGGGAGCAAGGAGCCGGCAGGAAAGGTGCTATAAATACATATTGTACTGTTGGCTTTTTGCAAATATTAGGGTGAATGCTGCGTGTGTAATGTTAAAATAACGTTGTTTTTATTTCTGCTATTAACAAAATCTTAGAGCAATAGGGGTAGCTGATGTGGGTATGAGTGAATTCTGTGTGGTCGGGATAACATGCAGCAAACGTGCCATGAGGACCCTGCTGCTGATATGACTATCAGCATCTGCCCTCTGATGAAATTACGGACCAAGGCCCAAATTGGAAGCGATAAAGAGGAACCCAAACCACACCCGAGGGACACGCATGCTCTGGAGAGGCGGACCCGAGGAGCGACCGTGCAAAACAGCTCCCGGGATATGTAAACTGCCTTCCTTATGGATATGCCTCAGGATCTGTGAAGACGCTAAGGACCGAGGTAATGGAAAAGGTGTTTAAGAGGTGTCCCGAAGGTGAGGGGGTGCTCTTGGCTGAGTGCCAGGATGCACCTTGCCATAGTCTTTGCTTTTCTTTGTCTCCTGTCGCCCTTTATTAAACTTTGTGAATTTTCACAGGAGAGCCAACGTGTTTCTTACAAAGGGAAGCCGGGAAGCACAACGGGGTGCACGCTACAGGAAGCCGCGGCCTCCGGTGATAAATAGGAAAGCCTGGAGCACAGGATGTGTTTCGGGAGAGCTCGGCGGGACAGCGGGATGTGACTCCGCTGGTCATTTGTCCACTTGTCCGGCG